ATATTAAAATTGTTCTTAATTTATTTACAAAAATTGAATTTATTAATTAGAATTTTACAATTTTTTTAAAAATAACAAAAATGAGATTATTTACCCAAAAGATTGTATGACTTAGTTACTTAGTTTTAGGATTTAAGTCTTATAGATTAAATTTAGATTTCATGAAATATCAATTTTATCAATTTAGTTTTCATTTATTCTATTTTTTCTTTGTTCTATCCTTATTTATTTTTAACAATTTTTTTAATTCATTTTTGGCCAATAAAACCCTACTCAATTCGTCAAGCACTTTGCTTTTCTTTCATTGTTTAATTGAATTGTAATTGTATATATTAGACATTCAAAAGTTTTTCTAAAGTTGATAAAAATAGTGTATTGTAACGTTATACAATATTACGATAAAAAATAATTTTATGTAAGAATATAATAAAAAATATGATAAATATGTTAAACGTTCAAAGTTGCAATAATGCAATTTGGTTTGATTCGATTTTAAACATTCAAAGTTGAAATGACGCTTATTACGAGATGTACTCAATCACTTTTTTAAAATCAAAGGTTTTGAAACAAAAAATTAAAGTGAACATTTGCCAGTTTTTAAAATCTAAAATATTTCTCTTAAAAAATTTATAGTAAAATCATTTTCTTAAATTAAAGACAGCAACAATCAGTAAAATATATAAGAAAGAAAAATATTCTTATTAGTCAAAGTGATTATTTTTTATTAATAATTATATTGTGATTATAACTCAACAAAGGAGAGTAACATTAAAAAGTAATTATTTTTCATTAATAATTATATTGTGATTACAATTCAACAAAGAAAAGTAACATTAAAAATACAAAACAAGACAAAAATATGTTTCTCTACTCTAAACAACAGAAGGAGAGAAACATGTTTCACATCTCTCAAACATAATAAGAAGATAAAATAGACTGGGCAGAATTAATATGCTGCTTAGTGTGCTAGCTCCTTAGAAACAGATTGAGCCATTTCTACTAAACCTATTATCGCTGTGTTGCTCTCAACAATGGGATGAACATCAGCTTTTGAGTCTACTGTTTTCAAATTAGAATCGCACAATTTAACCTTATTATTTACCTCTTGGAGACTCTCAGTGGCCTTTTGAGGGTAGATCTTGAAATTGATGTATGCTAGATTAAGTGCTTCAACTACACCTTCATAATTTAATTTGCATCCTTCAATAGGACCTCTTGAAAGTACATCAACGTTATTCTTATCAAGTTGGCTTGACATGTATGCACTAACCCTTGATGCAATTGATGTAGCTAGATCAATAGAGCCCTTAGCCATGGTGATTGGCTTCATTGCCTTCAAAGTGTCCATGTTACCTTGGAGAATTTTAAGACACAATCTGGGCTTTCTAGTGTCTTGACATAATTTATTAGCCGAACTTTGTTGTGTTGGGCTAACAGAGGCGAATGGTGCAGAGGCAAATGGTGCAGCTGCTGGAGCAATGTAATTGTCAAAGGTATCTTTTGGCAATTTCGTGGTTGCAAGTGCAGGTTCAAGGACAATGGATAAGCACAAAGAGATCGAGATCAAGACCAAAGAACAAGTCAAGCGATCCATTTTATTTTATTTTATTTTAGAGATTGATGTTGAGAGATGATGATATGAACAATGATTATGTGGGCCTATTTATATTTGCTACTTTACTAAGAGAATCTTTAGATGATCTTTAAAATAGAAATCTTTAATTAGATGGTGAAGCGGTCAAGAATAAAGATAGGATGTTCTAACTAATTTGAAAACAAAAATTGGCTAAAATTGGTCTACAACAATTTTAATTTGTCCATATAAAGCAAGATATATGGAAATGTTTTCTAATTTTTCACTTACCTATGCTATTTCAAATTCTCATATTTTCCGATGTTCAAAACCAATGTATATTAATAAGTAAAACTACATTCAAGTAAATAAAAGATGACCGTGAATTTTACGTTGTTAAATAAAAATAAATAGAAATCACCTATTTATTTAAGGCTATAATTTGCCAAGATATTGAATTAATCTAAGTATCATTTATTTCTTTTTGATAAAATATAATGAATAACTTATATATATTGGTTTTATATTAATGCTTAAATAATTAAATTTAATTTTACACTAATGAATAATTATATTAAAATAATATTTAAGTAATTGTGTTTGGAATTTTTTTACAATCTTAAAGTTATGTATGTTAAAAGTTGGATTGTTTAAGAAATTATCCCTTTAATTGACATATACATATATAGTATGCAAAATTTAATTTTTGCTTACTTTCTTTTTATTTAATTATATTTAATAAATTTGAATCCTTATATTTATGTATAGGATGACCTCTTTATATACACTCTTCAGTTATATATCAATGTAATTTTAAAAATAAATTTTATTATATAAATACATGAAATCTAATTGTTATATACTACGAAAATTACAAAAAAAAAATAAAAATTAATATGTTGTACTTGTAACATAAATATGCATGATGGAAATATTGCATCTATTGATTAAATCGTAAATCATTGTTAGGAAATTAACTTCCTTTTATATAACAAGGAAACTTTTTAATTGTTCCCCTCAACAATCAGTAAACTAGGAGCTTGATAAGGACTAAACATAGGCCATTCATAATCCATCATCATCGCAGACTCATTCTATATAAGGGTCAGGACTCAGGAATCCATTGATCACAAAACAAATTCTTGAGTATGATTCCTTTCACTACTTCCTAGACAAAATGACAATTAGATTACAAAAGAAAATTAATTAAAATAAATTGAATAAATAAATATGCTCAAATATTAATTAAAAGAATATAAAGCAAAAATTACTAAACATAGGTTCATGCAGGCTCTGTCATTTAAATTCAACCGAACAGTACCCAAACTCGACCAAAAAGGGATATAAAAGGTGTGTAATTGTGTATTATTCAAAAACCCTAATCATAATCCTTAATTCCTGACACCCTCTTTCTTTGAGTCTATCTTTTGAGCTCCTCTGCTTTGCTCTTTATCATGTCACACTTGGACTATTGCATGGCCGAGGGTAGGATTAGCATGACAGAAAAAGGCTCTCAAACATCAAGTTGAAAGTTGGGATACCACAACTAACACTATATCCATATATAACTACAAACACGTGTCTTAGCTCATACTCTCTCACCCTTTCATAACTTTGTATCGAGATATAGAACTTATGACCTTTGATTGCTTAAAATCAAAATAATAAATGACCTCATTATCAAACTGATATGTGGCAAAATAATTATAGTATACATGATACTTTTAGCAATTGAGAACTTTTTTTAATAGAAGCAAGCACATTAAGATTAATGAAAAAATTTAATTATATTTTTGTTCTTAAAAATAATAAATTGTAATAATTTTTTTTTAAAAAATTTGTTAAGATTCAATGACTAGTTTATTAAAAAGTTAGAATTTAACTTTTATTATTAATTTATTTATTATGTCATGTTACTATTATATTATTTTTTTTAATATTTTATTATTTAAAATTAATATTTATAACTAAGTTTTTAAACATATTTTAAATAATTTTGCTCTTCCTCATCTTTGACACCAACAAGCAGTTTCGTGTAACGGTTGGACTTTAAGGACCCTTGATGGTTTCGTAAAAGTAGCAATGACAGTTAGCACTACGCCAAAAATGAGATGTTAGAGCAGTTCCAGTTGTTCATAGAGAGCGGTTATAAGTTCTATCAAAGCCCACCCTATGCAATGTCTTGAATTTTGGAGAGCAGTTATTTAACCGCTTTGAAATATTTACTTTGGAAAGCAGTTACGCGCATAACCGCTCTCAGAAGTTACCTAAAGAGAGCGGTTAACTGTATAACCGCTCTCTATTCATAAGCACTTTGGAGAGCGATTATGAGTGAACCGCTCTCAGAAGGTGGACCAAAGAGAGCAGTTATGAGTGAACCGCACAATTATCCGCTCTCTTATCTTGCACTTATAAGAGCAGTTCTTTCATAATCGCTCTGCAAAGTTCAATTGAGAGCAGTTTACTTTAACCGCTCTCTTTATGGTACTTCTGGGAGCTGTTATTTGGTAAGCCGCTCTCACAAGTGAACTTTACAAAGCGGTTTTATGTGAACCGCTCTCCAAAGTTAAGAAATTTATTGAAATTTTTTAATAAAACCGTCATAATTTCAATTTTTAGCATACTTGATAAAGCATATAGTATTCAAAACTAGTTCAATCAAAATACAAATTACAAGTAGAACACCAGAATTTCAAAGCAATTGCATATTACATTATTCAATTACAATTCACATGTACAGATTACAATCAGAGGTTTACATTGACAGGACGAAAATAATCTCATATTTACACTTTTTGCCTATTGCCTTGAAAGAAAATTGTCTAAGTATTGTAAGAAAATACTACAAATCTATTGTGCTTAATGTCTCCTTTAAATATCTATGGTACAGATATGCATACCACTCCTTTTGCACTTGATGAATTCTGTTGTTAGGAAAAGTTGACATCTGCACCTCTAGAAAGTATTGAATACAAAACAATAAAACACAAAAATTAATTAATTAATTAAGTCAAATAATAAGCATATGGCAGACAGTTAGCATATGTAAGGGTCTTACATTAACTGGGATTACAGTTTGTCCATGATGCAAAGCATCCCTAATGAATAGACCCACATAATATCCACAATCATCATTATTTGTTTGCTTTGGACATTGTATGGAAGATAAAAACAAATAAGCCACATTAACTACGAAAGATATACAGTGTTATTAATATTTACCTAAAAATTAAAAACATATTGTATGATATAGTGTTATCTGTACAGTGACTCATCTTGTTTGATGCATCTTTGTCCTAAAAGGCTGTACTTCCCTCTCTGCTTGATACATCACAAGAGCACTAACAATGGTGCATGAAAAAACTTAGATACATTTGAACCACATAGCATTAATCATAGTTGTTTGACATAAATGAATGCTTACTTATTAAATAAGTTCTGCATATGTGTTCTGATCTTCAGCTGCTTGCATAGAGAATCCAAATAATATAGTCTCGTTAGAGGTATTGATTGCAACCAAGACCCAATGTTGCCTGCCAAGAGTATAAATATAAGGTTAAGATTACAAGAATTAAAAGTTATATGCTAATTTATAAAACATAAAGCAGAGTCACAATCATTAATTGACTTACCCAACATTATAAGGTGCAAAAATCAAGTGATCTTCACCCATATGATGCTTCAACATTTCAGCTATATGTTGATGTGGGTTCGGGTTGAGCTTTTTGTCCATTTCATACGGAGATATAAATGAGAATCTATATGTCATTGTTGTCCTATGCAAGTAAGCTTCACATAAATATCTTGTATTGCAAAAGTACAATTGAAATGCATTATACAATGAAATGTATAAAAATTTATAAATTGCTAAAGAATTACAAAATTTGTAAAATAATTTACCGTATGTAAAGGTTAATGCTAGAGGCACTCAACCAATGTCGACGTATGACCTCTAAAATGTTTTCTTTCCCCACAATGTCATAAAACTCTTTACCCCAGTGCAGAGTTGTTATATGAATTGTAGCTATATCAATGGTTTGATCACTTCTCACAAAAAGCTTCATTATATCCAAGCATGTAGCACCTTTGGCTTTTGTCAACTGAAGAATCTCTAATGATACACAAGCACTGCGACCTTTATTGGATGGATCAGCAATGGACTCTTTCGAGTAGCCTGTCTCTTTTTCCTAACCCTTTACTTGATGAAGGGGCAACCTGAAATATATATGTATCAATTATAACATCTAGTGTTCCAAACTATAAAGAACCTTGCATACATACCTTGAGTCTTAAAGTGATTAGGAAAAATGGCCAAGCAACATAAGTACCAATTGCATCTCTCAGGAAAATTAGGTTTGCTTGTTCATTTAGGATAGGCAATGCAGACTCCTCCTCATGTCGTTGCACTATCTCTAGTGAAACCTTACCATACTCTGGAGGAAAAGTCATATTATATAAGGAATCCCCAACCACTGTATGATATACTCTCCCTCTTGCAACAAGGCGAAAAGGAGTGTTCAAGTATAGCAAATAGTCATGATCACCCTACAAAAACAAGTTTGTTTATTCTTTTCTAATTAAATAAAAAAGTGTAAACATTAAAAGGTAAATAATAAAACTGTGGAGTTTAAAACCTTTGGAATGTCAACAGATGCAATTGGTGTGCAGCTGCCTTTATGGCTGGTAGAAGGTGCATCTCCAGTCATTTTTGGACCAATGTCCGCCATTGGTTGCATTTGAGGAGCAATATTGAAAAGGGGTGGCATACATGGTGGTGGAGAGGCAGTAGGGTTGAACGGCATCTAACCTGACATGAATGGGGGCAGTCCCTGACCCTCTGTCAACTGTGTCACTGCATTGGTCAAATGCGCTACCAATGCTTCATGTTTAGCCACTCGTAAATGATGGATGTAGACATGATGGTGCTGGCCCAAATACAGATTTTTGGGTCACCCCAAAACCTACAACCCTCACACGACCTTGATGCTCTCTTACACCAAGTGCTTGAGAGAGTATGTCATTTCAGGCTGTTGATTCAGACTCAGCGTCTGGAGTGACCTGTGAAAGGGTTTCCTACATTAAACATAGCATAAACTTGCACGTCATTACAGGAGAATTCATATACAACATTATGTATAATGAATATACTAACACATTAGCAGTAACCACTTACAAATTCATGAACCATTTTTTGAACTCCTTCGTCATCAATGCCACCTTGTTTGTTGACTCTAGCAGCTTTCCATAGGACATGACGAGGTACTGAGGTCAAATTAGACCCAGATGTAGCAATCTATACAAAAATTAAGATTAAATGCCCTCGTTAAAGAAAACATAAGAGTAAAAAAACTGTTACAAGGTTACATATGACATAAAATCACATACCAAATCTTGCTTTAACTGAGTATATCCCTTAGTTGACTGCCTGTATCTATACGATATTCCTTTTGCCCTTACTGCATTAGCCTCACTTTCTTTCTGAAATTAGGCATTCATAGGTAGTACCAAATCAATAACCATGTGTACATGAAATGATAATTGAAGTATTAGCCCGAGACAAATTACCTTAAAATCTTCTGTACAGGATTGGTTGACAAAGTTCATCCAATGATCAGTGACTATGATGAATCTCTGATACTTCTCTGGAGGTTGGGGGACACGATTTCCATCTTTGTCGAAGATATGTTTCCTCGTCCGTGTTTAGAATGCACAAAGATCTCATCCAGCTAATGAAAGAACAATATTTTTGTGGATAGACACTACTAAAAAGTATGTATATACAGACCGATTTACAGATGGATTTTTAAATCACTACGGACGATTTTTTAAATTACAGACGGATTTAGAGACGGACATAAACTATCTGTGATATCGTCGTCAGTAAAAAATTAAATCCGTCTATAAATTATAGACAAAAAAATTAATCTGTACGTTGCAAACGAAAAAAATCCATCTGTAATGTATTTTACTATTATTAGTATTTTTTGTTTATATAGATAATTATTTCTGACTATTCCTGATTATCACAATTTATAAACATAATAACAACTATAAATTGGGCATCTAAACATTTAAAAATGATTTATAAAATTTAAATGTTATTACAAAGGAAGACAAAAACATCCAAATAAATACATTTAAAAATAAAATACAAGACTTCATCATGAATAATCTGTATGATCATCATCCGAAGGAGCATCATCATCAGTAGACGAGCAGTCGGAAGAGGAATGATGCATGTAGATGAAAACCGGTGGTGCTGGAGCTGGTGGAGGAGAAGGAAGAGGTGTGGAGTTGCTTGCTCTCATGAGCTCAAAATAAGCATGTTGCATCTGCATATGTTATTGCTTCATCTGCTGCTGGACCTCCTTTTGCATTCTTAATGCCACCTTCTTCTCTATCTACTTATCCATTTTCTTTGCCCACTTCTTCTTCCATGCACTTTCCTTGCTCTTCCACATCTCCTCATTCTGCTTCTAGAGTTCTTCATTGAGGGCATGGACTTGAGTGTGGACCATGTCCTCCACTTCCTCAGGTGCAAGAGAAGGGGTATCTACAATGGTAGATGCAGGGGACATGGAGTCTGCAAAGCGACCCCCCATGCCATAAATGTGACCTTTATAAAGGCCACCCACTGTCTGTGACCACATAGCATCCTCATCTACTGACTCTGGATTCTGAGAAGATGCCTCCTCAAGCCTTTGAACATAATCATCCTACAGTTTAGTTCAATTTAGATAATTAGATATTAGTTTGGAGAACTATTTAATAAATCACAAATAATAACATATAGTATCAATATATTAATGACTTACATATGTGGTCTAAGATTGTGTATCAACCCACAAGTTTTTGTCCTGCCTGCGAGTGTGTGTCTCCTTAAACAAGTCTCCAATCGTAGGTGGCCTTTTTAACAACTTCTCCTGCAATTCAAAATAAATCACAATCTTAAATATGAAATTATAGATAGAGTAAACTGAATTTTAAAATCACATACCAAGTTCGCCTTAGTGTCAGCCAAAGTCGTAAACCCACCAGTATGCAGTGACCCCCCTTTATTAGATTTTGTCTTGTTCTTTACAGAGAGATTTTTGAACTCATCCGTACCCCAATACTCCTGCAAGGCATGAAGAAAGTTGGGTGCTATCCAATCAGCAGTAGAAGGGTCCTAATGAGCCTCAATGTACATCTGTCTTAGTCGCTTTGCAGTGCGACTCTTTCAGGCCTTGAAAATCATTTTTTCTTCCTGGGGGAATGAAGAAGTTGCTCTACAAAAACACAATTTCATTAGAGAAGGTACAAACAGTCATATGTAATTACAGTTAGTTAAAATTAATACACTTACCTTCCAATCTTTGAACCATTCCATCTTTGCATCCTTCGGCATCTTTGCAAAACTTGTGTAAGGCGCATCAAAAATCTTCTTAATCGTATCTGTGACCTGGTGGAGACCTTTCTGTGGTGGTATCCAACTGATAACACAATAAAATAAAACATCAGGACTAACATTTTGAAGGAAACTTACCAAGTGGACCCATCCCATCTCAAAGTTTGTAACGATCTCGATGATGCCTGGGTCTGTGATGACTGCTGCCCACTTACAGTTGGGACAGCAGTGGATCCTTCTCCTGTGCCCTGTGTAGTAGGTGACTGTGTGGCCTGTGTAATAGGCGGTGCGGAGTGTGAAACTCGTTGTATTGGAGGGGGAGGAGCAATATACCCTAGATTAGGCACCATGATAATTTCCTCCTGTCCCCTAACCTGGGAAGTTTGCACTATAGCTGGTGTGGAGGTCGAAGTGGAAGCGCTGGGTAAAGAAGTGTTGCCACGATCAGGATGTTGAGTAACACCTTTCTTACCTTTACCTGGCATATCTGAATCAAATACAATATATGTTTAGTGACAAATACTATAATCGCTATAAAATATAATTAATATTTGTGATAACACAATAAATAATCATGGAAACATATTAAATTGACAAACATACTTAATTTATCTCATTTACTCTGATAATTCAAGACTACCTTCATCATCAGTCGATGAAAGTTCATCCATAAATCCTTTCTCCTCATCTTCAGTCATGTTATCTAATTCATTATTTCTCAAAACTTGGGTAGGAAGGTCAATTATTTCAATTTCATTCAAAGGAGAAGATAAATTTGGAGGGACAACATTGTCTATTACTACACATGAAAGGATTGAGTCATCAATTTGATATGCATCTTCATCATCTACTTAATCACTTTCAATTCTACCCCTTGATTTAGTTTTTATTACAATCCTCCAACTTCTATTACATTTTCCAAGGTAAGATAAGAAATATACTTGTCTTGTATTTTCTGCAATGATGAAGGGGTCAAAACCTCTATATCTTTTGGTATGATTAATCTCAATTATATTGCAATGGTTATGTTTACGTGTCCCTGTTGGGCGTGTTGGGTCAAGCCATTCACACTTAAATAAGACAATTCTTTTTATGGTTTCACCAGCATATTCAAGCTCAACTATTTCATGAACTTTTCCATACCAATCACAGTCACTATCACTTGAATTTCCTCTCACACTAACTCCACTATTATCTATTTTTCTCCCTTTACATGATTCAATAGTTTGGAATTTATACCCATTAACAAAGTAAATTGGTCAACAATATGCTTTATTTTTTGGACCTCTGGACAAGTTATATAGGTCAAGATCTGTGATACCATTACTAGGATCACGCACCTACACATACCATTAAATATATCAATTGATTGAATACAAAATAATATTCAAAAGTCGATAAACTAAAATGTTAAGGAAATTTCATGATGTACATAACTTTTGAACCATGATGGAAATTGATTAAGGGATTCGTGACCATATAATTGTTCAAAATATCTATAAACATTGCAATATCATTAATTAGATTTGAATCACCATGATCAGAAAAAGTCATTAAAGCAATCATAAGTCACTTACGTTCTGAATAGTTGAACTTCATCACAATTTAATAAGATGTGTAAGTATGCGGTCTCTGATTCATCACCTAAGATCCATCGTTCTTCATATTTTCCAAATACACGACCTGCTTGGTTGAATATAGATAGAGTTGGCTCATTACTACTTTCTCCCCCATCATCATTTTGACCAACCCGAGTTCTCCTAGATTAAACATGAGGTTCAAAATAGTATGTGTAAAAATTTGATGTCTCCTTTGATATATATGCCTGGCATATGGATCCTTCCACTTGTGCTCTATTTTTCACAGTCCTTTTGAACCCTCCAATTTCTCGTTCAAATGGATACATCCACTTGTATTGTATTGGTCTACATACACGTGCTTCATACGCTAAGTGTATAGGCAAGTGCTCCATGGAGTCAAAGAAACTAGGGGGAAGTATTCTCTCTAATTTGCACAAAATCACAGGAATATTTTTCTCCATAACTAATAGATCTTCAACCCTAAGAGTAGGTGAACACAAGTCCCTAAAGTACTCACTTAACTCAGTCAATGGCTTCCAAACATGGTCTGGTAGTTCCCTAAATGCAGTAGGTAGAAGACACTCCATGAATATGTAGCAATCATGACTTTTCATCCCAAAAAATCTTCCTTGTTCAACATTCACACAACGACCGAGGTTTAAAGCGTAACTGTCAAGAATTTTTAAGTCCTTCACCCACTTACACACATCTTGCCTTTGTGGTAAAGTCAAAGTGTAACTTGCCTTTGGCTTTGACCATCGACCATCTGCAAGTTGTTCTAACCTCAATTCTGGACGCCTACAATATTCTTTTAAATCTTGCCTTGCCTTTACAT